GAGCACTTCGTGCGTACGCACTCACGTGACAGTTCTGGGCGTTATGTAGAGTGAGGCTGTCTTTTATACGTTCTCCGGCAGATCTCGGTGATTCCCTCAGTCGCGCTAAGGCGTGTCTGACTACTCTGTTTCAGAGAATAGATAAGGATTCGAAGACTCTTCAGCTATATAATGATTTCTTCAAGGAGTTTAAGGAGTTGGGGCCCATGGTACGTGCTCCAGTCGTGTCTGATTCAAGGGATACCCGGAGCTTGAGATGGGGTAGTGCCTGTGAGGGGATGACTTTGGCACATGGGAGCCTCGCCTTCAGGAGGGTTGAGGGTTTTCGAGAGAAGGTTATCGGCTTATGGTTGGGTAACGAGATTTTCTCATCACTAGGGAATATCACTAGTGAAATACCTGGGTGAAATGAGCGACATCTAACGCCGGCTGAAATAGCCGAACAAAAGATGAATAGACCATCGGACGACGGCCAATCAGGCCGGTCCGATTGTAAATTAGACCAATCACATAGTGGAAAGAAACGTGGTAGGGTGAGACCATGTTTCGGAATACTGTGATGGCGATGACGATAGCTGTTTCCCAATTCGGAAATCCACCCAGCTGTGTTAGGGAGTTCACTGCCGACGTACAGGCGTTCCAACTGGGTGGTTCCGAAGGGCGCCTTCGACTTAGACCGGGGACCAACGGCTAGGTGAAAGGACTAGCGCTCCCGCAATCCCGTCGAGTTGATGGGTGGCTGTGGGGGGACGGATGACCCACAGTCGCTGAGATGCTTAGACTAGGGGGAGAAGGCCCTGGTAGATTTCAGGACAGTTCGCGTTGAGTGCTGGTCTCGAGCGGATGTTTTAGGGGCTCGGGATCAGTTGGTGGCAATAATCCCTGCTGGGATTATGAAGGGTACGTGGTTCCAAGGAATCTTGGAAAAGCGAGAGAAGGTGTGTCCCCGATCAGTGCAATGGATTACTTTGAGGCTACGGACGAGAGTCCGAGGCTACAGAGATCCATCTCTAGGGCGAAATCCATGGTGTTGGGGTGGACTAAGGGCTGGGATTCAAGGCGTTTCCCGTCGGTCTGGTCGCACGCGCCTCCATGGGAAGTAACTCTAGTTTTGACTCGCGATGAGATTGCTATTACCGAGCTCTCGAGTTGGGGTGAACGTTAGGTGGGTGAGAAAGGTCTCCGGATACCTACGTCGCATGTGCCTCGAGCAGTTCGGCGCCCTGCGGGGTGAGAAGGATTCGCAGGTAATCTGTGTCTTGTCTGGGGTTGAGACACCCCAGAGCAGGGCTGGGCAAACTCTGCTCTGAGAGCAAGTCGTGCTCCCGACCTCTATTAGTGCGTAACAAAGGATAGACGAAAGCCCATTGTATCGGGTGATGGGCCTTTATGACCCAGGTCGTAAAAGCCCTTCTCCTTCGCTGAGATCAACCGAAGTGGGGGTGACGCTTAAGAAAAGGAGAAGAGGAGAAATGAGACTCAAGTAAAGGAAAAGCAGAGAAATAAGTTGATGAGAAAAATTTCAATTTTTTTTCATGTGTGCATTAAAAAATAATCAAATGCGCGACAAGTTTTTCCCTTCCGAAGGACAAATTCTTGCCAGATGCTTCATGGGATACTCCCCATCTTAGTACCTGTGAAGCCCCCACTACTGCCCCCACTATGATAGTACTAAGACCCTTATTATTGAAATGGTTGTAAACTTTATTGGATTTCTAATTCGAGTTTATGGCTCTGCTCCGAGCTACCTGGAGATTGCCCATGCCTGCCCCAGAGGAGAGAGTACCACGTGCGAGGGATGGTCACATCCCTCCACGAGAGTCTGGGGAATACGTTCCCCGAAACATATCGTTGACGATGCCGTAAGCACGGCAGAAGTTAGTGACTGACGTTACTCTTCGTTGGTGAACCTCGCGCACTCTACCGTGTCATGCTGATGCTGGCTCGGCATTGTGAGATCCGCCACCGAAAGTCCGCGGAGTTGACGAAATTCCTTCGCGGCTGCTTTTCCGTCAGGTTTTCCAAAAAAACCTGGCTGTCGCCCAATCGTGAACGATAGAGGCGGCAGCCAGAATAGTTCGAGGAATATACCGGGGTGTTGACCCGGGAAAAAAATACTCTTACAGTTGATTGGGATTAATTCCTACGAGCCTATAATCTAAAGTAAATCTAAGTAACCCCCACTATGTGTAAAATATAATACTATTAATTATATGTTACATATTTTTTACCATCACTCTTATTTACCAAACACCCATTATCAACCATTTCATTTTTTTAGCTTTGAAATATATTGCTCTCAACATCCAGCTGGCTACAAGAACTTACAGCGGGACCACCAAGTGGGAAAAAGGTATGCATCGCTGTATTGACCTGTTCACTTGGAAAAAAGAGGAATGGGCCATGAAAAATTCCCAAATCTCGGTTCCCTTTTATTATCGCCATAAAGGAGAAGTGATAACATCGGTAGAACTGCACAGTCTTCGAATCTGTTCTAAAAGTTGTATCATATAACAGCAGGCGTTGGAAGGTCGGTACCTCCATAATGGCGGGAGCTTTGGAGACACAGTCGTGCTAACTTACATGTGTATATTCTTGAACCGAATAAACTCAAGGAAATATGCCATTAGTCTTCAAGCGCAAGGTTTATTACCGCGCGATATTTTCTCCACTGAAATGTATGTCATTGGAGGTTGGGATGACATAATAACAATAGCATTTTTTTGTACTCATCGTTCAAAATGTGATTCTATGTGGGTCATTCTTCGCATCTCACAAGTCAAAATTTTAGAAAACAATTTCAGTGACAGTTTCTCCACACCAATTGCATAAACGAAAACCTATTGCTATCATAGACACTACGTGATATCAAATCGTGAAATTCTACAGAGCAAAATTTGAATGCAAAAAAATTGCAAACCAAAATGTTTGCTATTGCATTCGTTTCGCAAAAACTTTGGTATTATTTTCATCTATTTTTCCATATACAGGGTATCCCAGAAGTACATGCTGATCGCGAACCATCATGTACAGGGAGTGATTCGGAGCCGAAAAGTCCGTTTCCGCTTTTGGATCAGAAGCACCTCCTCGGAGATATTGGGGTAAATAACGGAGCCAATGATGCTGCATCGTTCAGCGGCAGTACGTCTGTGTCGCTTCGCGCTCATGTGTGAGTGATGCCCCTTCCAAGCAGCGGGATACGGTTCTCCGCTCACCCGTGAGCGAGAGAGAGAACGCATGATACTTCTCTCTCGCTCTCTCACATCATTCCACAGAAATGTTTTTGCAGTTATCTCTTAAATGAACATGAAAAAAGAGGAACTGAGCACTACAATCAGGCTCCTCACTGGACATGGTAGGTTTAGGACACACTGCAAAAACATGGGCATCGAAAGCGATGCCCGCTGCAGACTATGCCTTGAGGCAGACGAGGACAGCCTGCATATACTTTGTAGCTGCCCTGCACTGGCTACAACAAGGCTAAATTACTGGGGAACCGCCTTCCCTAGCATCAGCTATGTAGCGGATCTAGACGCCGGGAATCTATTAAAACTGGTGAGAAAAGCTGGCCTAGAATTATAGGGATCAGAAGGACAACGGAGCCACAATAGCCCAGTAGGGGTTCGGTGACAAGAGGGCAGCAAATGCCTATCCGTATTTTTAACCATAACCATAACCATATCTCTTAAATAATTGGGTTTTGGTGATTTTTACATTGATTATTATTTGTTGCAAATCGAATTTGCAACAGAATAATCTCATATTGAAATCACATAAGTTATTTAAGCAACTATTGGCCCTACAGCATATTTCCATCAATGATGTTAGGTGAACACTGCGTTAATTGAGTGGATCTGAAAGTTTCGAGAAGTTTGTGAGGTGAAGGTGTATAATGCTATACGCGGAGATTATACGGCACACGAATTGTTAATTTACTCAAACTCGACGTCAATCTCAATGCAGTTACGTATTTACACGTTGATTAATTAGGACTATTGATTAGTTGAATTATGTTGATGTACAGTGGACGAGTTTGGAATTTATGTACAATATGGTTAGGTACGCGGTGATTTAACACGGTGATTTAACACGGTGATTTACGATGATTTCGCGGTGAGCGTCGATAACGAACTTTCCACGTTGAGAGTCGATAATGAAGTCGTGTTAAGTGGAGTGATTTTTCGAAGATGAGTGAAGATTTCGGCTGGTGCCATTTGGCCGATGGGTCCCGATCATTACCGGAGTTTTCCGATGATTGTTTTCGTGAAATCGGCCCGAGTTTAACTTAATTTTCAACATCTAATCTGTTTTTGCAATAATCTTTCCTAATTTTTCGAAAACCACGCTCTTCTTTCATAATCTCATAAACAATAGGGTTTTCCGGGAATTTTCCATTGATGAGTTTTTGTCGCAAATCGAATTTGCAACAAAAACCATCTGGTGAAAAAATGCTGTAGGCCCAATGGTTGTTTAAATAACGATTAATAACCATCAAACCGTTTCTTGCAATTATTAAATAAATAATTGGGCTTATGTGATTTTTACATGAGATTATTTTGTTCCAAATTCGATTTGCAACAAATAATAATCAATGTAGAAATCCCAAAAACCCAATTGTTTAAAAGATAACTGCAAACACATTTCTGTGGAGTGATGCGAGAGAGCGAGAGAGAAGTATCATCCGTTCTCTCTCTCGCTCACGGGTGAGCGGAGAACCGTATCCCGCCGCCTGCAAGGCGCATCACTTATACAGGAGCGCGGAGTCACACGGACGTCCTGTTGCTTCATTCGTCATTGGCTCCCTTATTTACCCCAATATCTCCGAGGGGGTGCTTCTGATCCAAAAGTGTGAATAAACTTTTTTGCTCAGAATCACCCCCTGTACATGGTGGTTCCGGATCAGTACGTACTTCTGGGACACCCTGTATATTTCTCAAATGGCTTCTATTATCGGAATGACTTTTATTTTGAATTCGCATGAAAAAATATAGAGGAAGAAATTATAGTACCTTTCCCGATGTTGAAATTCCTTTCCAGAGCGAGAAATAGCAGATTAGGTATACAATTAACAAACAGAGGGAAATATCCCACTTGACGATTCCAAGATCATGGAGGCCTGCACTTTCGTGAAGTTCCAAAATTGCTCGGCTAATGGGGAAAAGATTCAGTGTTTTTAAATAATATTCATGTGATGAAAAATATCTCTACAAGGTCGTATATAATTGATTAACCTAGTCCAATGTATACCAACTTGAAATACTCCAGTGCAGCACTCGTGTATCTAGAACTATTATTTCCGTCCATATCTTCGTCCATGTTGCTGAATATAGGTGACAATGTTTCAAAATTTGTCAAATTTCTCGTGGGATTCATTGTGAGATTAGTAATTGAGTCTTGCTGCGTCAGATTAATATTGAATTCTCGGCAGAGAGGCGTATTCCACATATTCCCGCATGTCGTCCATGGAAGCATGTTCGTGAATGATGCGAAGAAGTAGCGCAGAGCCCATGCAATTATCACGTTATAATAAAAATCAACATAAAATGCAATCAAAACCACCGCATAGCCGATTCCTATAACAAAGTGAGAATTTGACAATGAATGAAAATGCCTTCAGCGCTATTTGTTCAATAATAATTATAATTATCATTGCATTTCTGCCAATTCATATTTTTTAGCACAATGTTCAAATGGCCTTCTTACCAGGTTCATAGACGATTAACACACACTTAAATGCTTAAAAAACCGAACATTGCACCACTCTAGGTGGTGAAAGTTATATTACCGTTCTTTTGTCTGTTATTGATTCTATTGTCAGCGTTTGATTACATCGTTTTGATATCACTTATATTTGCCAGTGACGGCGAGCTTAATGATGCTTTCCGGAAGATGTTGTTCCCCCACTCGATTTTCATTTATATGGTAACGTGACATTTTCGTATGGGGGTTGAAAATGTCAGTCACCTTCGCCCTACTTCCCCAAAGCCTAATCGAACCTGTTAAAATTGAATCAAATGGGCGCCAGGTAATTTTTCGCCGGAATTACCAAATCGGAAAATCACTAAAACTAACTTAATTAACCTCGATGTCCTCTACTCGTCATCGTAACCTAACAAAAAGGGTTTTCCACAAGGGAACAGAAAAGGGAAATCAGGCTTCGGGGAAAGTTAACGGTCCTGGTTCGCTCAGTGTGCGGGTTATGGAGAGAGGGGTGGATTTTGGTGGAGACAGGGTGTTTTCGGGCATGCCTAACCATTGACTAAATGATCACGTAACTTAAATTTAAAAAAAGGAAAAGATAAGTAAAGCCTTCAAAATCGTCATTTATTCGATTCATATTCTGGGGGGATTCCAACAAAATGGGGTTAGAAAACCCAATTATCTATTAACATTTAAAGAAAATCTCGTCTTAATATCCAAGTAAAACAAACGTTAAATTTTACTATGCGTAGCCCCTCATAATTACCATTGAAATTTGCCTACAAGGACTATCGATCGGCGATAATCCGCGGAATATCCGATAACTCGGATGGACAAGGAAAAAAAAGGAAAAAAAAACCATTAACGCCTCGGACTCGGACCCACCCTCCTCAGAATTGAAGAGAGCGAGAGAGAGAGGGAGAACCACTGGCCACCGCGGGCCGTGGAAAATCCCGCAACTTAAAATCGTTCCTAAAACCCAAAATTTCGAGAAATTTTAGGAAAAATACCCACTGGCGTGGCCAGGGGAGCCTCTAGTATGTTGGGGAATCATTAGCGAGGCAGAAACTCCCTCGAAAACCACGTAAAATGGATGGAGAAATTCCGTCAACCCCGGGGTCTCTACTTTTACCCCTAAACCACCCTAAACGGGGAAAGTTACCTCTAAAATACCCACTAACATAATCAGGGGAGCCCCTAGTATTTTGGGGATTTAACTGCGGAGGGAAAAACCCTCCGAAAACCATCCAAAACTGGATGGAAACGTCAACAATGCCACGACATGTCGTGGAGATATTGGCGACAAAAAGGAGGAAAAATGCACTTAAAAGTTGTTAAACTAATTCCCAACTCACCTGTGGGGGTTTCCTTCCCTTCCGTGGTCCTTTTCTCACCATAATCCTCACTCTAAACGCACTTACTTCCTAACTTTTCTCGTCACACACACACTTGTTGCCTGACTCGTCATGAACAACTGACTTAGAAAGGTCAGTGCAACAGGTGGGCCACGCACAGCCGAAAATCAGGCGCTTCCTGATTGGCCCGCGTTAGTTTTCTCTTAGGGCGCGGTGGCTGCAGCGCCAAATTCAAATTTAAACTAACAATTTATTCAACTCTAACGTATTTTTACTAACTTGACAGGGTAGGGGGGCCTTTTCAATCGGCGTATCCGGGGGATTATGAATACTAGAAAATCTTCCTTTCTTCAACCATAAATTTTGAAAATTAGTATTTCCTACTACTCTCAGAAATTATTAAAATTCATTTTATCACGCGCTTATTCTCCCCGACCTTCCACCAAAAAAAAAAACAGAAACGTAAACGTAAACGTAATCCTAATCTCATGCTCCCACTAAATCAGAATGTCCATTTCTTTTATTGCCCTCGCGATGTTGTATTTAAATCACCGGATGGCTCTATTTTTGGCTCTTCTTCACGGCAGTTGGGCCTTCACCCTTAATTTTTCCGATTTATTAGGCCAGGGCATGATGTTCCTGGATCGCGATTTCCTCCCTTATAATTTTCGAGGATAGTGGTGCAGGGTTTCAACGTTCCGAACGGACATCCCCACATGTCCGTTACAATATATTCAAATTATTGTTGCTCATTGATATACTTATTCATTTAGATATAACCCAAAGCCTCCAGTTCACACCGCAAGAGTCACATCTTCATATCGTATTGAATACACGAGAATATTAAATACAATTCTAAATTTAAGAAAAGTAAATGTCTTAATTTCTACGATGGCTGGAAGAGTATACACACTTGGAATGAAAAATAAAATGGAATATGGAACATGATATGAACAGAAGAACATTATACTAGCAGATGTAGTCAAACCGTTTGGAAGGAGTAATATTGGATTCGGTTCTATATTGTGTAAGATATTTCTGGAAAATTCTCTACACGCAAATGACTTTTGTAGAAACTCCGAAATCGATTGGTCTACCCTGATATCCAGATTTCGCCCAATGTTATAATAATTAAGTCACAAAATGTCAAATATTTGTAATTATTTTTTCGTTCTTTCGTAACTAATGAGCACAATTAGGTGGTGCCAGATGGTATGATCTTAGGTCCTTTACCAACCCTTCCCAGTACCTACGCAGTACTCCAGCCTAATTTCCTGCCCGCACTTTTCTTCACCTAACTTGTAACTAAAGTCCACGAACGATCAGCTCATTTTCCGATGTAGAAAAATTTTTCACATTCGGGACTCCACTCTGCGTTACTAGAACGCCTTGCCCATAGGGCCAGCAGGCGAATGTCCTCACCGTATGCGTAATATTTCAAATCGCGGACATTTTGAGATTCTGATTAATTATTTCGGACAATCGTTTAATACGCGTTTTTAGTCACTCCGATAGTCTGCCGAAACCCTATTCTACGCTCACCCCATCGTTGAAAAACGGATATCACCACTCATGTCGTTCAACTCGACCCTTTAGTTCAGCTGACGTGCCTGTTTAAATGATAATAATGAAAACCATCACCTGGGGTCGCTGAGGTATTCGAGTATTATCATATAGCGATATTAGTCTTACATGTCGAAATCAATTAATAGTTAGCACTACTGGCAATGCTTTTTATCTCATTATCTGATGACGGTAAATTACTAATTTATGAACTTTCGCAGTTTTACATGCAGAAACAAAAGGGAGTAAATATAACTTTGTCTTTAACATGACATCCGCGGAAGAATCAATAAACATCGAATGGGTGTAGCGATCATCTCGGGATACTCGTTGGAGAGTACCAAAAGGATCTGAGAACAGCACTCCACAACAAACTTAAAGAATTCTGAGGGAGAGAATAGGATAGAGTGCTAGTGGTAAGGTTTCCTCATTTCAATATGATCGGTCCGTAGGAATTTATCGCATGCCAGGTATACTGATCCCTGAGCTTAAATATCATTAAAGGGAATTAGAGATAGTATGGGTTAGAGGGCCTGAAAAGTAGCACGAAGGGCTAATAATCAATGTCATCCAGTTGTTTGTTAGGAAATCGCAGATACTGCAGACACTGGCTTGGTAGGTGAGTCGAGATGTTCAAAAATTTGGACACTTAAGCCGACCTTACGGCACGACCCGGAAACGTCGACTTAATTCAGCTCAGGCGACTCCCGAGCTTCGTGAGTGGGAGTTGTGAGAAAGGCCTTATCAACTATAACGTGGTATTTTTACCAGTTACTGGTTCTCGACCGTTTTGCGATTTTAGAGACTTCCACTAGGCGGGAAGTCACTTTTTGTGGCGAGAGTTCGTGAGACGAGGGGAGGAATTTGTTTTGATTTTGTTTTTTTGTTTATATTTTTGAATTAAATTAGGCGCCACCGCGTCCTTCCTGAGGACATCATTGAGGATCCTGAATAAACCGGAAGATGTTATCGGGCTCCGTTTGAATTTTGGCAGTGACTGGATTTTGGAAGTGGCCGACGATGGAGCCACAATCCAGCCATAAATTACCACGGAAGTGACGTATTTGCTGAGCACGAGGTTGACTAACAATCAATCGAAAAATAGGAAGAAATTAATTAAGGCGAGTTACTGTTCTCTCAGGGTAGCGAATAATGCAGAAATTGTTGTTGGAATTTTAGGGAAGCATTGAGAATTTATTCTCGTTAATTCACGACAGTTAATGATTGTTAAGCATCGCGAAATTTAATAGCGCATACGCTTCGAATATATTATTTCTGTCGCGCATGTCCGATTAATTGGGATTGGTAGATGATGACGGTGTCACCCCCCCCCCCCCCTCCCGCCATCAATCTGATATATCGTTACCTACTGGTTGCGAATTTTCACGTGCGTCGTGAAAATCATTTCCGTTTGGAAATTTTGTGTTGAAGGACGCTCGATAGTGTCGAGGGACGCTACTCTTTTGATTAACCTTGTGGAGGTTTTTGAGGAGATTTTCAAGAGTTCCGGATGAGCGTGGTGGCCAATTTTTTTGTTAATAATTATTTCTTTTAGTGCGGGCGGAGATTATGATTTGTATTATTTGGTGTTACGTACACTCGAGGCCTGTAGGACTGTTAGATTAATTATTTTATCAGGGAATCTCTGGCCACTCTAATCAGTGGAATTTTGGTGGCTCTCTCTCCCTCTCAAATAATTTATTTGAAATATTTTTTTTTCTACATGATTTTTTTTTCTTGTGTTAATTGGTTAGTTTCGCGATTTTTGGTTGATAACGCTCGTCGCGACAAATTGTGAAAACCTCGCCATTGAATTTCATTTAAGTTTGTTGCTTTCAAGGTCTTGTGATTTCGGAATATTTGTCTCTAAAGTGTACTTATTCTGAGTGTTTTGATTGTTCCAGGTCACGTACACCTGTCCATTTTTCGCGTTGCTGTTAATGTCATTGCATTTCGTTGACAATTTTATGTACATCATGTCTGATTCAAAACTTGGGACTTTTCCGGCATTTAGCAATTGAGTTTCGTAAGTCAGTTGTTTTCATTCATTTATTATTTGTTTTCTAACTACTAACAATTGAGTCTCGTAACTCAGTTGTTTTGTGACTCAGTTATTTATTATTATACTATTTCTGACTTCTTCGACTATTTTATAGTTATTTATTTATTTATTCATTTTATTTTTTTTAACTTATTAGACTTCAGAAACTATTTGTTCATTTCAATCAGATAACCGTGACTTATTCAAAACTATATTATGTGTGCAGTAACGCGTAGTCGATTTGAGGGGATTGTATTTTAATTTATTTTTTTTATTTTATTGAGACATAGTAATTTATTAAATATTGTTCTCCCCAACAATTTGTATTTTATTCATTCTTTATTTTATCTTCCAGTTGTATCCCCTTCCAGTCTCCGATTAAAGTGGAGAAGGACTTCGAAACGATGGTCATTCCGATTAATGACCTGGCGCCTAACATTTTGGATTTTGATTTTTCTGTTGAGGTTGTTGGTGCCAGAGGGCAGGCTAATGGAAGGAGGGTTCCATGAATCTCCCTAAATTACGTCGCATAACTTAACGGAGCTACCCGCTCAAATTGGATTTTTCTCCCACCTTGAATCTTGGTTCGAGTGATACCGAGAGAGGGAGACGGTGCGATCCAGCGAAAATGAAGGTTATCATCGATCGGACACAACAGCATTGATTTTTTATTTAAAATAGACAGCAATGTTAAGTGAGGAACTACGGACATACATTCCTGATGAGGAATCATCCTTATCAATTATTTTGTGTTCAGCCGGTATTTGCCGCAGTTTGTGAGGAGCAGCAGACTTCTTTCTCCGACCGAGAGAGAAGTAGATATGTAATTCTGGTTCTCTCCTAACGATTTTGGCGGTTGTGAAGGATGGAAGAGGACTCTTCCCGGGTCAACATCTCGGGATAATCCTCAAACTATTCTGGCTGTCGTCTCTATCGCTCATGATTAGGCGCCAGCCGGGTTTTCTTGGGAAACCTGACGAAACCAGCCGCGACGGAAGTTCGTCAACTGCGCAGACATTAAGTGGCGGGTCTCACAATGTCGAGCCAGTATCAGCAGGACACGGTAGTATGGGCAAGGTTCATCAACGTCCGAGTAACTCTGGTTATCGACATCAGCCCCGGTTGCGCCATCGTTCAGCGAGAACTATTGGGGAAATATACTCCCCAGGTATTTCGTGGAGGGATGTTCCCATCCCTCACACATTTTCCACTCTCCTCCACGGTGGCTCGACCCCGAACAAGACACAGATTATTTGCGAATAGTTTCCACCCGCCAGGGCGCTAAACATCTAGACACATGCGACATTGGTATTCGGAGACCTTTCTCATCCACCTAATGTCCACCCCGCCTCGAGGATGCTTAATAATAGCAATTTTATCAGGAGTCAAAACTCGAGCAACTTCCCATGCAGGTACCTATTCCCAACCCTTAAACCACCCCAACACCATGGCTTTCACCCTGGAGATAGGTTTCTTTGGCCGAAAGCATTCGCTCGGTCGCCAGAAAGTAAATCTATTTCACCAGTCGGGGATGCTTAAATGTCCCCATCTCTTGTTATTCTAATCTACGATTAGAAACACGTAACCATCATAATCCCATCGGGGATTATTGCCACCAACCAATGACGCGCCCCTAAAACATTCGCTCGCCACCAGCACTTCACTCCGACTGCCTCGAGATCTCACATGGCCTCCTACCCCTAGTCTGAACCTATCACCGTTTGTGGGTCATCCGTTAATCTACAACCACGAATCATGCTTGACGGGATCACGGGAGTCCTTGTACCTAGCCGTTGGTCCCTAGTCTAAGTGGACTGCGCCCTTCGGCATCACCCCATTGGAACGCCTGTACGTCGGCCCTGGACTCCCTAACACAGCTAGGTGGATCTGCGAAATAGGCTACAGCCATTGTCAGCGTCATCATGGTGTTCCGAAACATCGTCCAATCATATCACGTTTCTTCCCACTATGTGATTGGTCTGAATCACCTTTGGAGCTGCTTGATTGGTCGTCGTCCGATACCTTATTCATCTTTTGCTCGGCTCTTTCACGAAGGTTAGTAAATTTTCCGCAACCACTCTTTCTTCTTAACACTTATGACCTTGGCCGGAGAATTAAAATATAATAACTCCCGCTGAAGTCACTAATAAATATAATAAAGGAATAAACGAATGATTTTTGAGGGGAAATTACTTGGTATTTGCGGGGGGACCTGAAATGAGAAAAAAAGGGGGGGTGAATAATTACTCGGGCGGGATAGTAGTAATAAATGTTCTCTATTTCAATAAATGGAACGTCTGAATATGGTAATTCTCATAACAAAAAAAATCCAAAAGTGTGACCTTCTCTTAATCACTAATCAAGGGTGGGGGGTAAGGCCAGCCAGCTTGCGACACACACACAATTAATATTAGAAAAAGAAGGCGTGATTCTATCTCTGCAAAAAGGGGGAGAAGTGAGGGGTCCTCGTAAAAAAGTATCGCTAATTAGGGGGCTTGAGTTATAACAAAAATGAACTTCCGGGACACAAAAGATCGTGAATATAAAATAATTATAATAATGGAATTTAGAAGCTCACCGTTGGGGGGAAATATCATTACAGGGGGTTCGTGAGGGTTTGTTGGAACGGGAAAGGAAAGAGAGGGTACTCACGGTGATGGCGTCTATCCTCGTTCTTTTCCCACAATCTCGAAAAAACGACGGGAAACTCCTTCGCCCAAATAGCCCTTGTCCTCCTCGTCCTCACTCCTGGGTCTTTGGCTTCTCCTCCAAAACTCTTCCTTCACCAGGCACCTTCACTCAACAATATCCTCCAAAATATTTCCTCACAATATCCTCAACAATCTCTCCTCACAATAGCCTCAAAATCTCCTTAAACAATATCTCCTCACAATAGCCTGAAAAATATCCTTAAACACACAAATCTTCCAGCGAACGCGGTTACACACGGGGCAGCTGTAAAACGATGGCTTCCCCATCCTCGCTATTCTTCTTCCCCGATTATCGGTGATAATCGGGGTCAATCGGGGACACTCGTCATCGGGTGTCCTCGTCCTAATTATTTGTTGTGCCCGATTAGCATATATTCCTTTTCTCTCTTCCGGGTCACGTGGGCTGTGACGTATGAGTGGTGGTTTTCTCTCCTTCCAAGTCACGTGGGCCGTGACGTAAGGATGGTGGGTTTCTTTCCTTCGCGACGATGTTCGACGATGTTCCACCGCGTGAGTGTAGGGCTGGGGTAACGCGGGGCAAGGGAAAGGAATCTCTTGGGAGTGGGGGCCAACGGTGGCAAGTTTGTCTCTTTACCTTACCCTAATTCTTAACCTAGTTACATATAAAAACAAGTCATTATTAGGGGGCAGGGGAGGGGCTAAAAAAGTGCCTCGTCACACACTTTTAACGTGAATGCTTGTAACGATACTACAGCATTCCCATTCGTGTTGAACCCTTTTTTCAATTTCATAATATGATCTATTCCCATAATTCCATGATAGACCACAATGGCAACGCCCCAGCCAACGAATGACACTTCTATACTTTGATGATGAATTATGGAATAGTAGTGGTGGGCGGACAAACCACACGGTGAGACTGGAAATTTGTGCAATCGTATATGCCAGTTCTTTCACAATGAACCCATTAGGGGATGTAGGAAAACCTTGCACATCCAAAATTAGTGCCATGGTGACCGATGTCTTATGCTTGCAAATATTGGGGTTTACACCCACCACCTTTAAAGCTCATTTTTCTACAGCGCTACTTATTGAAATATAAGCAACTACCCGATCATGTAGTACGAGCCCATAAGCAGCGGTATTCTAGAGGAACCTGTCTTTCAATTCAAACTCTAAACGTACATCGATCGGACCGAATTTCAAAGATTCATATTGTTTAGAGCAATCAATAACCACCAACGGTGGAAGAGCAGACAATCGATTTTTACTTAATGATAATGCATTAATCACTTGCTTATCATAATACGGTGATTGAAAGTTCGTATACATGTTATAGAGTAGGGATGGGCAACCTCCAGGTAACTCGGAGCAGAGTCATAAACTCGAGTTAGGAATCCAATAAAGTCTATAACCATGCCAATTATAGGGGTCGTAGTACGATCATAGTGGGGACAGTAGTGGGGGGCCTCACAGTCACCGTATTGGGGAGCGTCCCATGACGTCTCTGCCAAATGGTAAAATGGGGAAAATGGCCGCCGCGATTAATATAAAGGGAAATTTAAAAATCTACACATGGAAAAAAAATTTTCTGAATATGAACATAACTATTGGTAATTGAAATGAACATGAAGGTACTCTTCAAATTCAGCTTCCTGAATTGATGACATCTTTCAGTTTCCTTTTCAATTTTTGGTCCAATATGGACCTTACCGAAAAATATGTCAATGAAAAAATAACAAGCATTACAGTTTTGATCGGCTGATGTTGATTCTGAATATAAAAAAGGAATATTTTTTTTTAATAATATTTTTTTTTAATTTTCTTCAATTAAACTCGAAACTTTCGGAATGTTCTGGTTTAATAGAATCCGACTTAGCCCTAACTCTAAGCAGACTGTTGACTTTCACTCAAGTTGTGAAAACTTTGAAGATTTATCGAACTCTGAGCTACTTCTCAGCTTGGTCCGTCAGGGATGCCATTTCATTATTAATTAAAGTGTGATTATTGTTACAGTTCGGAAACGTGGATCGATCGGATGGGGAATGAACGACTTCGCGATTTGTATCTGGCCCAATTATGTGAGCGACGCGTTTGCTCGGCTCATTTCTAGGACTCGGACTTCATTGACGTAGAGGTGGGTAAGAAACAATTTAAAAATGACGTCAGACCTATTGCGATCATAAACAGAATAGAAAAAGTCGCCCCAGCTATAGCTAATAATCCTCTCAATGAGTTTCATCAGCCTTTTGCTCTCAGAGGAGAACCGCATAATGTTTGTAAAGAACTTGCACGCTACACTTCAAATTGGTGAACAACACGCAGAAGTGAATCAACAACGAGCAGAAATTATTGAACAAGGCGCGAAGATTAAAGTCTTCAGCAGGAACAATTCATGACTGAAGACGGCAAACCTGACACGGAAGAGATTATCGCTATACGAGGTAATTTCTGGGGCAGGACGGTATTTGAGCGGTGGGAGCCTTTCCATTGATAATTTGTAATCAACGTGTGGGGTTAGCGGCTTCAGGGCCCTAGTATTTGTAATGCTTTGCCCCGGTTACGGATTTCCTCCCTTGGCGATCCCTATTCACACCCGTACCACCCTAGCCCTACACCCCCTATCGTCATCAGTATCACTTCCTCGTCAGACGCCAGGTGACTTTTGTAACCCAGTGTCACCCCTGGACAAGACCGGGCTTTTAACCTGCGTCTCGCTGAAACCTTTACGGCCGCGTTTTTTATATTTGCCAGATTCGCTAACTGGCCCCTTGATGCTCCTACTCACCCCTGTACTGCGTTTTACCAGATCCGCTACTGTTCCTCCTGGGGATGCTGTGCTAGGATGGAGTTACGTGCCTGGGCTGCCCAGTATGTAGGTTTAGAAAGAGGGCGGGGTCCGGGGATCTATTCGACTTTGCGTGACTACCATTCTACCTTGTATTTTCTCGGTTCACTCGGCCAGGCGGGGTAACACACTCACACTTCCACGCTATTCCTTCCTCTCACTATCTTATTTAGTTCCCTCGTCTTGCTTGATTTATTATTTCTATATTCTTCAATTATATTCAGGCGGGCGGTGTCAGGGCGGGATTTACCCGGGGTAATGCGCACTCCCATTCTTCGAGGCCAGGCTCCTGGCAGGAGGGGCAGGAGGGGTTGCCCCAGATATCGGTATAGCGAAAACGGCCGTGAAATAAAGAAGAACGGGATTTCGCGTAGTAGATTGATTTTAGACGTCCTCGAGTATACCGTTTTCTACGTAGAGAACGAGGAATCTCATTGCTATGCAATACATTAATTGGGAAAATAGATCAATGAAATGGTCATTTCTGCTGACTTTAATCCTGTAGTTTTTACAAAATGGAGAGAGAAAGTAAAGAAAGTGGAGAATTTTGAAAAAGATTATACACTCGTCGTCGATGAGATGTCGATTTGCGAATTATTGGAGTATGACTAGCATTTGGATTGCATTGCGGGTTTCGAGGATTTCGGAGAATATGGTCGATCGATGAACATCGGTAATCACGCGTTAGTATTCATGATTCGAGGTTTGCGATCATCGTGGAAGAAACCAGTTGCTTATTTTATTTCGAATGGCGCGGTTAGAAGTAATATTTTAGAGTGTACGGTAGATGAGGCTGTCGATCAGATCTATGATTGTGGTCTTCGATTCAAATTCATTCTTTGTGATCAAGCGCCGGCCAATGTGTCGAATTTCTCACAATCAAAAAAATTATCGGCGTCCATTAATCGGTTTGGGGACAAGTGAATCGAGATCGGTTTGGTTGAACAAGTACCCGTCTGATTTCGAGGAGCCGATAATCTGTGTACACGAAGTCCTGAAAATACTGAATTGATAAGTTACCATAAGTAGAAAAAGCCATAGTAATGTTCAATGAGATAGACTGTATGTCTATCAAGTAGTAACGGGAGATTTTATAACGGATGAAATTAATTCCTTCCAATATTTTCGTTACTTTACAACTAATGTTTTCCTAGACACCTACGCTTCTATATTATATGCGAGAAATTTTTAGACGGAGCGATGCATGTATTTCAAAAAATTAATAACATCCTATTGATTCATAATTCGATAATTGTGTCGACTTATTGAAATTTTTCTTCATAACATAGACTGTTGTATACGAACGATTCCAAAATACTCAAATTTTCCAGAGTTTATTGTCAGTATTTATAACTTGAGCGATTAGGTCCTCATTCAAAATAAGTTGTCGTATGAAGACAAGAGGCGGTCGATTACTGATTATATTGATACCGATATTTCACCAATAATAAGGACCACGGCATTCTTTCCAATATACGAGTAGTAAACAACAAATTATTAATTGTATATTTACCGAACGGGAAGAGTTTGAACGACACATAATGTATAAATATGGAATATGTAGAAATGTTTGTCTTCTCGATGAATGGAAATATATATATTTTTTTTATATTCCGGCCCTTTCTGCCGTGTTCTGGCTAATTGGCCCTATCTCACCCTATGCATGCGGCTGTGGATCCTAAACTGTACCGCATTCACTCACCTATAGAGCATAGGAGTGACATGGGAAACCACAGGAAAAACCATGTTGGTACAGGCGATTGCTCTATTAGCAACCTCCCGCTCATCGGTGCCTGTTGAAAAATTCGATTCAACGGGGAATCGAACTCACAACTTTCAGAACACTACGCTAGCCCCTAGCCACTGAGCTACCCACGTCGGTGAATGGAAATATTGCGCGTACGTATAGACAATTATTCTACTTATCCAGTGAACAATGAATTCAAATTCTGTATTTATCTCAGGAAGTTAATCATTTCTACATTGATAAGATAACGAATAACGATCAGGCCATGAAATTTTTTTTGGCGATTGTGATTGCACGTGAAATCCGTTGTACAGTCATTTCCCTTTCGTTAACTTTTGTTATGTATTTTTCGGATTATCATCAATGTCAATATGTGGCTGCTTCATGCCTTACTGATTGTTTGTCGAATCCATTACTTTAATGATCAAGGGAACGAATAACGCGAATATTCATTTTCGTGAGAATTTGGGAGGATGAAACTGGGTTTATCCTAATTCCTGATTTATCGACTGGGATTGAGTGCCTTTTATATTCCGCCTATGTATGTTAGATGGCGACAGCATTCAAATATTTTAATGTTTTCACTCCAAGATATACTTAGCTTAGACCGTTATTAGGTTTTTGACAGTGTAAAAGAGTTTCACGACAATGATTTGTTTATTAGTTAATTTGTCAATTTTGTCAGCTCTTCAGGAGATTTTGATCTTTTCATTATTCCAGATAAATCTGAATCACCTTCTGAGACAGAACATGTTGATGAGAGTTCATTTGCCAGAGAAACCGAAACTGACGAAGTAACACCCAAGATATATTTGTATATTGAAATGCGAACATTGAGAGATACAACTGATTATTGCCAATAGTTTTTTACCCTTTGTACAAGAGGCACAAAATGTGAAATGGACAATCCTCTAATAGGGGGGTGGAGAAACCTGCTGAAAGAAAAGTCACATCAAGACTAAATTGGAATCAAATCCTCCTTAGCATGTTTTATTATGATGATGCTTCTTCAGTTTTTTCAAACTTCTAACTAACAGTGCACAAATATAAATGCAAATTTGTCTGGTACTATAAAATCTCATATTAATAATAATAAAGTAGTGATCTCATTTAGGTATTAGGTAATCTCTCGCAGAAAACCATGATGATCTTCAATGACCTGTTTGTAGCCCAGAAGGAATTCCTCCACAAGAACGTGCAATTTTGTCTTCCATAGAATTCATCGACCAGAAACCAAGAAAAAAAATTTTTTCCAATAATTCTTAAACTACTTAGTTTGTGTTATACCTCAGTGCAACGAACAGATTACTCCAAAATATTTTTTAGAGTAATTAAATATTAATTGTTATAAACTGCATTGTCATTTTTGAGATATTTTCACAATATATATAGAAGACGAAAGATAGATCCATTTCTTCCATCAAAGCCTTTTACCAAAATCTGTGCAACAATTGTCTACGATTTTGAGAAGCGAGCCAACCTCCATGTGATAGCATGTTCTCCCCAAATTTTTCAATGAATCTCGAAACATACATCGGCTATTTTTCTATTAAGTTTTCTCGCTGTGGGTTAAAAATAAGAATTATAATAAAACTAATTTTACAAACGACATTATATACTCGATTGTATATCATTGTAATCTGTAGACTATGAATTAACGTCCATTATTTAAATGTCGAAATTTAACTTCAACGAAGGGCTTCTTGTCTCGGAACTTCCTGGATCACTTCATGTTCTGGAATTTCAGGTGGGGGTAGTGGGGTGTAACTACCATTCAGTAACTGCTATTGGAAAATGATTCTTTTGGTCAATGGTTTGCAGAGGAATGAAGCAGCTTGAATGAAATGATCGAACTCAATCTTGTTGTTCTCTAACAACTCCCACAAACGCCTGATTAATGGGAATCTGGGACAGTATGAAAGTCTTGGAGACATCCCGCGTCAAAATTTTAGTTGGTTTGTCGACTTAATTCCAACTTCGATTAATCCGTTTGCGACGTTGAAATAACGGTGAGAATCGACTGACTTTCGACGTAAATATTGGGTTTTATTTCCAAACATTCCTCATTTTACGTTGAAAATCCATCGGAACTCAACGGATACTCAACGGGCCTTCAACGTCAATTCTCCTTTTGCTGGGCACGGGGCCCACCCCACCCTCTACGATAACCCTCTTCCTTATAAATAATTAGAGTTGAGTGAATTGCAAATTTTTATTAAAGAATAAAAGAAAGAAGTTACTTAAGAGTTACATTAGGTTAATAATTATAAAAAGTAATAAATCATTATTGCATGAAAATCATGTAACTTTTTACGTTCAAAATTAATTAAATTAAGATTTGTGGCGTCGCGGCTGGCTGCAACTGATGAGTCCCATTTTGGTAGTTGGAGATTGGTTGCACCACAGATTCCAGTGCTGTTCATGGTGTTTCTGGTGGATGTGAATGTACTGAGCCCATAGCTGATGGGAATGATGGTCCCAGATGAGAGGCTGATAATGGATACTGGTTCTCAGCGTCAGGATGTAGATTTTGTAATGGATGGTGTTGCTGCTGATAGCCATGTTGCTGGTAGCCAAGAGGAGAGTTAAAGTTTGGGGATCGTCCATAAAAGTTCGAATTTGGCCAGTACTGATCAACCGAATTGCCATGATCCTGGGCTTTAAATGAATGCTGAGAGTACTCTGAGAACCATAGATGGTTTAGAGGTTCATAAGCGCTGTGCTGGATTAAATTTGGAGTTCGATGGAGTCCTGGTGATAGGTTCAATGATGTTTGTGTCAATGGAGCTTTGCCAGGTTGCCCATTATCTGCGAGGAGGGCTGTAGAGCAATTTTCTTTTTGATTTTCAATCCTACGTGGACGCTTAGTGGTGATTGTTTCAGCCTTATCAGATGTATCTTCAAGGGCCTCGTCCTTCAAATTCCACGATTCTTACAATGTAATAGCCCCACGTTTTTTCCCTTTGCCACGCCCTAACATGTTTGAAGATCCTTGTGTGTGCTTTTCGCGTTGTTTTTCTGCTGGTCTCTTATTGGCAGCATGATCATTAATGACTTTATCGAAGGCTGTACTAGTCATAGGCTTAATGGGATTTTTGATGGCGCGTAACCAATCTGTCGTTATAAAATCATATTTTTGAATAAAACATTCCTATGCAATATTCCATTCGTACATAAATTCTGTGCTGAATGTCTATAATATATAAGGTTCAGAAAATACAATCAATGAGATTAATTTCTCCTGTTTTTTTTTCTGAATAGGAGTATTTAATAATGTGCTAGTGAGAATAAAATATTTTTTTTTAATTAATTAATTCTTACTATATAAGCCATCGTGAAGTCGCTTCGGAAGCCCGGGCCTACACCCTGTCCTGGACCCTTTAGCAGATAGTTCCATGATGCGTTTCCCGTATATATTTTCGAGTGACTCTTTGAGAGCAGCATCCCATTCAAAAAGACCAGTTAATTCTTGTAAGTTCATCTCGATGTTATATTGTAAGTACATCGGAAAATAGATGCCAGATCCAGCGGCAATTTCTATCTGTAGAATTTTACAAATAAGTTTTTTTTGAAACATGTGCTTGGAAAAGTCCCTTTTCGTGTACTAATTTTTGTGCATAAAGTACCATTTTTCGTCACACTTTCAACTTGTAAACGAAAAGTTACTTTTCGTTTACAGATTTCACTTTTCGTTTACAGATTTTACTTTTCGTTTACAAGTTTCACTTTTCGTTTACAAGTTATGTTTCGTCGTTCGGACGACACTAGCATGAGAGCGACAGTCGCCACGTTTTTGACCAATCACGGGTCTCTATTCTGGTGACTGCGTGCATAGCTGAAAACATTCATTTCGTCATCTGAACGAGATGGCATGAGCTCGGTGGCAGCCATTATTGATTAGTGATTCACGGCGCATCTATTGACTGTTTATTGTGAAATAAGTTATAAAAATGTTTATTAAGTTAAAGATAATTAGTAATAACGGAGAAAGTTTTATTTAGGGAAGTTGGTTGCATTGAAGATCGATATTTTACTGTTCAAGAGTAAAATACTTAAAGGGCATTTATTTATGGTGTTCCTTTGGTATTTAGGTGTCAGGAACACGTCTGTTATATTAAAATAAAATCTAGTTATGTAAGTTATACGATTCATAAAATGTTTATATTTTCGTCAATAAATCGTTGAGTCCACTCATTCGTATTTTTCAATATATTTATCCTACAGTATAATGACTTTTTCAATCACTAATTTCAAAAAATAGTATACATTACACGTGTGAAAAAGGGGTTATGTTGAAACTCGTGTGTTAATATTTTTAGGAGCAGTCGTAGTACAATTCACAGCTGAGCGATCGACGAGAGCAGACAAGCGAAGGAAGCACGAGCCGAGCCGAAGGCGAGTAGTTAATATTTTTAGGAGCAGTCGTAGTACAATTCACAGCTGAGCGATCGACGAGAGCAGACAAGCGAAGGAAGCACGAGCCGAGCCGATGGCGAGACTCAACAATGTTTCCTGACTGCATGGTAAAAGCTTTCTCCATCATAGCCAAAACTCTCCTCTGGAATTTTATATCCCTCTCAGTTACTAAAAAAAAAATGGGAAACATCAATTATAGCAGGAACTACAATTAAGACACTTTTAAAAATGTGGTTGAAAAATGGTCTGTGGTTGAATTAATAACATCAAACAATTAGTAGCAAAGACAAGTCATTCTCATAAAATTTGCAATTATTAATATTTGCAATTATCAATAAACATCATCTAATTTTTTGATTATTATTATGATTGACGATTTTTTTTGGAAATTATGGGGATACATGCGTATCCTTCAATACGTGTCCAACATACGCCGGGGCTTCCCCTTAAATGCCTCTCGGAAGCAATTCCCCCAGTGCATTCAGAATGACGGTTAAGTGTATTTTTATATTTGTTACCTTGTCCTAGTATAGTGGGCAACGAATAGTGATTTCTTCCATCATCCACAGGGCCTGTGATGAGC